TGGAGGATATCACCTAAGAGGACGCAGAATTAGCAGCAAATCCAAAACCAAACCATATCAAGCGTAAGGGCTATAGAATGCAAACAGGAAAGCTCACCAGCAAACTTGCTAATTGCAAAGTCTTTCATCTTGTCTTTTTCAACTTGGGCAATCCGCTGAGCATTCTGGAGGTCGGCTTGCAAGTATCGTAGTCTCGACTATTAGATCATTGAAGAGAATAAGCAAGTAGAGGTAAGGCAAAGTTGCGTGTAGAGAAAGAGTAGGATTGGGTTATCACGCCATAGTAGATCGGAAAAGTCGATGTCAGCCGAGAACTTTACAAACACGGTAGATACAGCTACACTGACCATTAAATCATCCCTTTCTTCCTTTAGTTTCTCCAGCTCGGCCTTTTCTTTGGACTTATCGCCATTCTTGGCATTGTCTGCTTGTTTTTGCTCAGCAGCCTTTTCGCCATTTGCAGGCTTCGTCTCAGCACTGGCGCCATTTGTCGTGGAACCAGAGGCAGAAGACTCGCTTACTGGAGTCTCCTTGGCTGCAGTGTCGGCAGTGGTGCTCTGCCATCTAGTTTGCGAAGCCAATAACGATGCGTTAGACGAGGGTGTCGACAAAGCTGTTCGGCGTAGGTGCGAAGGTGTAGATATTCTCATTCCACCCACACGTTCGGCCGCATATCTATTCGGTGTGCACAGAACCTTTTGTGAAAATGTTGGATGTGATGCCGAAGCTGACGAGAAAGATCACGAGATAGTGTCAGCGACTCGTCTGTGGTTTTGAAAGGTGATTTTACACCTAAAAAGGCGAGACATATCGGAGAGGACATACCATATTGGCGTATACTGGTCAGACGTGTTGACGAGTTAACTTTTGCAAGAGAGGAAGAGAGTTGTGCCGAGTTGGAGAGGCGTATTAATCGACTCGAGGACATTTTTAGTGTGTCTATGAGAATATAATAGTGTATTCCTTTGAGGACGAAAAGACTGCTGGGGTAGACTGGGGGCGTTCGAGTTTTTGGTACGAAACCACCTGGGACCTGTTCAAATTCGACCACCACCGATTTATGCCGAACTCGAACCTAGTCACGCTTATATAATCACGTTATCGCCAAAGGATAGTTTTATCGTCTAGAATACCGTATGTACTCTGTTTCATTCTAACAGAAATGCGACGCCTGGCTTAGCTGACCAATGGTTGTCAAGATTTACTGCAGCATTCTGTATGAAAGCACTAATACTATGAAGTCATAATTAGAAATCAAAGCTGTCTGGACGTAAAGCGACAGAGATGTAAAGCTACGAGTTGGCTCATTCATGGGGCAACCGCATTCGTAGATCCTTCCAACGAAGGAGTGTGTCATACTTTTCTCCCCTTCGATACCTTTTTCTTCTTCTCTTTCCTCATTTTCCACTCATCTACGTCCAGCCACGCCTCCAGCACGAACGGACATGACGAAATAGAGGACGCACTCTTCAGGACACTCTCCTTTGGGGTATATAGACCTGGATATAATTCGTCAAACCAAAGCCTCTCCCACCTCTTGCCTCGCTCTTGTTCTTCAACCGAACGGAGTAACCGTCCCACCTCGTCTGGGTCGTGTTCCCAATCTGGAAGCGTCCAATCCACCTGAAAACCGAATCCGTGCCAGTTTCCGTAGTAGAGGTCGTCTGTCTCTGACTGGAACGAGGATGTGTCTGAGGCCCAGTCGTACACCTCTCTTCGTACGCCATGTCCAAGCCACCGCCGAACACCATCCCACCACCCAAGCTTCTCCTCGTCATTTCCTCCAGGTAACCCATCTAGTGTCCTTTCCACTTGTGCTCTCTCCTTTTCCGTAATGGCGTCCCATTCTTCTAGTTCGAACCTCTGAAGCGGCTCTACCTCTTTTCCATGCCATTCGGTCTTGCTCGCCCAGGGCAATGAGAGGCCATGAATGCAGGAAAATACCGCGCTGGTCTGAAGTGCCAACATGGTCAAGAGTGATGTTGGCGAAGAGCCTAGGGAGTGTAGGAGGGATTGGTCGAGTAGTTCAGCGAGCTCTACCCGACGAGTATAACCAAACCAGTCGGCCACTTGTACCATCTTTTCGTCACTTTTATCGCAATCCGCGACTCTTGACCACGGACGATAGAGAATGGACCGAATGTGCGTCAGGTCTTTTCTTTGTAACTTGTACAGAACGTCTCTGTTCTGCACACCTAGGAGTGAATTCACCAAAGAGGCGCGATGGGTCGTTGGTTTTGTGATGGGAGAAGGGATCAAGACGGCTTCCGGTCGGTCATATGATAATGCCCTCATCGCATCTTCTAACTGATCCAACAGCTCAGATTGCAAGGAAAGGTCTGAAATACCGTGGATGGTGTGGGTGATGGATTCAGCTTTGGAGTGCAACAGAGCCCGACGCGCAAGACCCTCTGAGGAAGGCCTTCGGTTCTGATTGGGTGTAGGCGATCTCTTTGAAGTGTTTGCGACACCACTATGTGGTTGCGGTACGACATTGGTGCACGAGTTGCGGGATAGGGAAGGGAGCGGTACTGTCCTTGCGGCTTCGACGAGACCTTGAAGTCTCAGCCGCAGATTTATGATAGTAGGACTGAGATTCCGATGGAGTGGGTAGTTGAGCCCATACGAGGTTGCATACAGCTCCTCCACTTTGGTCCCAGTCTTCTCAGGTGGAGGTATGCAGGATCCCGTTGGCCACGTCGAGAAAGTGGGAAGTGGTAGATGCCTCGAGCGTGGTGTCAGGGTTGGGGAAGAGGAACCAGATGTCGAGGGTGTTTCTGAATAGGGAAGATCTGGAAAGTGGTCTCGGAGGAGGCCTGTGGCTGAGGGTATGTCCCCTTTACAGATCGCATCTTGTATGTCTAAATAGATGAATTGATCAATATAGGGTGGTTGCATTGAGAATACACTTGCCTCTACGTTTCCTTGCCAAATCTACCTGCTCAAGTTCCTGTTCTCGTTTCCTCTTGTCGAGATGCTGTAGTTTCTTGGACCCTACTCTCTTCGATTCATCGTTGAGCATCGATTGAGCTGTGTTAGCATAGCCATTGGCCGTTAAATACTCGAATACGAGATTCCTCTAGTGTCATTGTTCGACCAGAGACCCAACAACGGCGAAATGAGACGTTCAGATCGTCAATTCTTGCTCAAAACAAATACTCTAGAGGACCAAACTTACAAGATCTAATGGAAATGTCGAACTAGATGCATCTGCATTGATCGTCATCTCGCCCAGCGAGTGGCTGATCCACCAATATGACGTGATTTAAGGTATTGGAAAGGAGATGGTTGTGAGAATCAACAAAGTAGCTTTATATCCATAAAACTCTAAAGAGTGGTATCTGCGATTCGGTCGGGGTCTAGGTCTGCTGGCGCGCGAGCAAACCGGTGAGGAGGATGGGCGAAATAAACCTTTAAGGGGAAGACGGCTCTAGGGGAAAGCTATAACCGCTGGCAATGTATCTGGTCGCCCAAGCCCAGTCAGAGGCTATCAGCACATCATCAACTAGGCACCTGATTTCGAGGGCTTCTCTGCGGGAACGTCATCGTTCTTGCGATAAGGGCTACAGCTGGGGCGCCCAAGAAAGGGGTTGTGTTTATTCGTCGACGATGAGGAAAGGCGCAAGATAGGCAATTGGGACAGGTGGGCTCCTTTGGCGTGCATGACAGGTGAACTAGCCTAGCGCCCAACCGACTTGCTGCCTCCATTCGCACACACGATTTATTATTCGACAACAATTTATTCAAGAGGTTTAATCATTGCAGAGTTTGTTTACAAGTTATGAATACGAGTCATTGGATGCGTTGGAAAGCATTTACTTGCTGCCGCACTTGCAATCACCGGGGGCACAGTTGCTGTGAGGAGCCATGAGGAAGAATGAGCGAGGTATATTCTTGAGATTGCTTACCAGGTACCACTGCAGGAGCAGTTGTCATTGCCGCAATGAGCAGTCGTGGGGGTCTCAAAGATCTGGACATAGCGTCAATGAGGAGGTAGTTTGGGGAATAGAAGAGGACCAACAGAGTGCATGATGATACTTTGTCACTGAAGTCTGATCGTTCGAGGTATGTAGTCCTGCTCTCGTCCTTCCCCTAACCACCCGCCTTATATAGACCTCAGTCACCCCCTGTTATGGATGCTTAGTCGTAAACTTCTACAAGGATGATCTCAAGAGAGCATCATAGAGTGCGTCTTTGCTGGTCGAATGACTTGGGATACAAGTGGGGCGCTGGGTTATCAGAGCCCCAATGGGCAGGTCATTGGCGCAGATCTCACAACAACAAATCATAACAGGCTAAAGACAAGCTATTCGTAATCCTTTACTTCATATATGAGGTAACGGGCAGCACCGGTGTGCTAAACAAGCAGGTCACTTGATCAAGAGACTCGTCACTGTATCGTTTGGGCGATCAAATCACATGAGACGAAACGAGGCTAGAACTCGCATTAAAACGGCACTCAGGGATACGTATGACGGTCATGTACCTCGTTGAAACAGGGCGACTCTCCGGATCATAATGAGCACGGATCATAATGAGCACGGTGTCCAATCGTCGATATACGGCTGGTCCTCAGTAACGAACGCAGCGTTAACATCCTCATATTTCTGACGGATAGTATAAGAGCGAATACATTCAAAGCAAGAGCAAAGTAAGTGACAAGCAAGAGTACACAAGCAAGAGATGAGGAGAGGCTAAGCAAAGGACGAGCAAGAGTATACAGGAGTATACAAGAGGGAGTGGATACAAAAGAGTCGTGAACGTCGCGAGTGGTGGTACAGTTGAGTGATAAAGTAAGTGCGAAATGTCGAGTACGAGTGAATATATGTTGGGCTACAGGTGGTGCGCGAGGAGAAGAGGCGCTGGGCCGGACCCCAGACTCTCAATCAAACTCAGTCCTCGACCTTATCCATCATGAACATTGGCTCCTCAACATACTCTGCGTCCTCAGAGTCGCAAAAGTTTTCGAGGCTCTCGACCTGGATATGATCGCCAAATAGAATCGCGCTCCGTTTTTTTCTCTGTTGTTCGACCTCGTCCGCACTTGGGCGCCGATCTCCCAAGCTAGGACGACGAGGACCCACGCCAATGCCTCTATTGGTCCCATAGTGGACAGAGCTGTCTGTCATTCGCCTCCCCGGAACTGAACGACTCAGGAGCACCGGCACCTCAACCTCAGTGGCCACAGAAATGTGGCCTGGGAAAGGCGGCTCAAACTCGGTAAACCGTATCGTGTCGCTCACCGAGATGTTGTCGCCTTCCACAACCTCTGGGACAGGCGATGGCAGGCAATAATCCGCGTCAAAGCCTTGACGCAAGGCATGGATGGCAATAAAAACAGGGTCCGTTGTGTCCATTTGATTACTGGTGTCGCACTCGAGTAAGATATCACGGCGAACTTCCCCGCCCGCCAGGAAATCATCCCCCGCGAGCAGGGCTGCCACATCGGCCGAGACCCTGTAAGACATTCGTCGACTATAGGTTGATACCGGTCTTGTCATGGACTTGTCGTCCAGCGCTGTTTCCATCTCCGCGTTCTCCTCCTGGTACTCTACGTCCAGCACGTAGTCTACGGCGTCGTCGATAGAAACGCCGTCTGTACTACTAACGTAGTTTCCATCCTCAGACTCACGGTCATTGACCGAGACGATGTCGGGCTGGGAGTCCTCAGGCTTGGCCAGCATGATAGGAATCCACCCTGTTTTGGGTGGTGATGGGAGGGCGGGGAGCGCTAAAGGCGCAGACGTCCGTCAGTAACGGTGCTTCGGTAACGCAGGAGGACTCACGTTTGTGAAGATCAGTCGACCTCATGTTGTGTGGGATCTCTGGCCTTGTGCCCAGCCCAAGCACGACCGACGACGGTGGGCGGGGATGTATAGGGTCCCTTGATCCCATAGGGAATCCGGGTTTCAAGGAATGTTGGATTGTATTATAAGGAGCCTTGCCCAACCGAAGTCGCGCTACGGAGGTGGGCTGGCTGGAGGTAGACGGGGTGGGCTGGACGTTGGGAACAGGTTCACTTGCATTGCGTCTGTGACCAGACGCTCTCCCCTGCAAGTTTCTCCTCATCATATCCTCTCGTAGAGGAACCTCCCTTGTATCCGGAAGGCTGAAAACTCCCCTCTCAGGCAAGGGGATGGGCCGCGAGATGTCGGCCTTCCGGATGGAGATACGGCCCCTTTTAAGGAGAGGCTGTCGGGTATTTTCATTGCTAGAAGAGCTTGTAGTAGCCCTGCGGATAAGGAAAGACATGGTTGGGATGGTTGGGGCGGTGGGCTGGGATGTGGTGGTGGTGGTGGTGGTTAAGGTGGGTGGTCGATCAGACTACCGTTGGGCTGGGGTTTTCTCCTTGTAGGCCACATTTCACAGTACCTACAAACTCTAATCTCCGACGCTACTGTTTGGTGAAGAATTGTTATATGATTTTATATCATCAAAGATGTCGCGAGTTATACATGCGAAACTCCATAGCTCGAGTCGGCATAGGCGTCGAGACTATCTATAGGATACATTCAAAGCACAATGGAAACAATGGATAACGAAGAGTATACAGAAGAGGGCGAGCAAAGGGCGAGCAAGACTGCAAGAGCATACAGTGTACAGGGGAAATATGGGAGATACAAAGGAGCCGTAAATTCGTGCGAGATAGTACTAGTCAGTGATAACGTAAAGTGGAAAATACCGAGTATAGCTGATACAGGTTGGGCTACAGGTGGTGCGGGAGCGACAGCGCAGGCCGAGGCCCCAGGCTCCCAATCTGGCTTAAACATTGACCTCTTCGTCCATCGGGAAAAGGTCCTCGTCATAGTCATCCGCTCGTGCTTTCAAATCTTCGGTGTCCGAGATGTCGTTGAAAAACTTTCCACTTCGCCTCGAGTTCCTGAGCATTTGTTGCTGAAACTCGTCCATGGTCAAACGCCGCCCCTCTAGACCGGGGCGGCGAGGTCCTGCACCAGTCTCTCGGATTGCATCATCGTGTTTGGACCTTTCCATCGACCTCGTCTCTGGGACTGAACGACTCAAGGTCATGACTTCTTCGACAGGAGTTACCGTCGAAGCGCGGTTGGAAGTAACTTCGACATTTGTGGTACCAGTGGATGTTACTGTGTTGTGCAGCGAGAAGATACCTGCAGAGAATCGATGGGCGGGGAAAAAGTCCTCCCCGAAATTATCAAGGAAGAATTGAAAAGCACTTCGTGCCTCATCCGAGCCGATTGATTGATGCTCGGTATTTTCGTCGTTTGTATCCTCATCGTCCCACCACTCCACCACGACCTCTCGGTCGACGGCCTCCTCGTCCTCAGGTATTCTCTCAAGGAAGGCCGCTACCATTTCCTTTGTCATGACGCCACTCATAGTCGATAGTGGCCGCACCTCAGAGTTGTCATCGCGAGCTGGCTCCAGCTCGCCGGTATGTTCCGGTAGCTGGAGACCAAGGAGATCCCGATACTCTGGAGGTATCGGTGGTAGTGGTTTCTGCTCTAGATAATGTGTTGAGCTGGCTTTGTGGGAGTATACGGAGGCATCATCGTCCTCGTTGGCGTCTTCACCTTCAAAGACGATGCAGGGATAGTCACTGAGGGCTAAAGGCACGGATCGATGTTAGCATGGATGCTTGTGTAACACAGAAGGACTCACACTCGCGTGGGTTGACAAACCATGAGTCGTTGGAGGCTCCTGGGTTGGTGGTCAGACTGAACCTTACAGACGACGCACGCCGGCGAAGTCCGGCCCTATTTAGACTTGTCGAGGATTCGGGGCACGAAGTGTTGTTCGAGGGAACCTTGCCCCATCGAAGGCGCACCTCGAAGGGTGGCCGGCTGGATGTCGACATGATGGGCTGGCTGGAGAGGGTGGGCTCACTCGCGTTGCGTTTGTGCCCCAACAGCTTTTTATGCAGACTTTTCCGCATCATAGACTCCTTCAGAGGCGTCGCTCTCGTCTCAGGAAGGCTGAACGCTGCCCCCCTCGGAATGAGGGTGGGCTGGGAGATGTTGGCCTTTCGAATCGTGATGCGGCCTCTGAAAAGAGGCCGAGAGGTGTCTTCAGTATTGGAAGAGCTGGTATTGGCTTTGCGGAGAAGGAAAGTCATGGTTAGGGTAGTTGGAAGGGTGGGCTGGATTGTGGTAGTGATAAAGGTAGATGGTGGCTGGTGCGACTGGCTTTCTCTCTGTGTAAGCCACACTTTACAGGCGCCGCAAATTTTCGGTGCTCAAGTCGCATCTTGGGTAGGAATCAAGACGCGCTTTATATCATCCTTGGTATGGCTCATAAGCCCGATGGCTAAGGAAGGCTTCCGTGTGGTATCTACTAGCCAACTATGCCTCAAGAACGGGCGAGAAAATTCTTTGGGTGAGATGCAAGTTCTACGTACCGCCCAAGGGATCAACTCTCCATGGTTAGTTGTCTCACGAGTTCCACAAATAGGCCCATCGATGCGCTAGTCTGTACCAAGACTAGGTGTACCCGTACGCTACTTGCCTAATTCATCGCAAGCCCATTGAGGTGCTGCCACTCGGCCAAGCCTCCTGCGCCGTTGCCATAGCCAGTAAGCCACTCTTATGGAGTTGGCTGCGCCGCACTCTCAAACTCTCCTGCATTCTCATTATGCTCAAGGCATTAGAGCATCGCGAAGACTGTATATAGCTTGTACATTCCTGGCAATACATGGTGATTCTTTGTACGACATGTGCCCATCGGCTCAACGGATATCCATTGGCCAAGTGAGATGCAACAACGGATTTTCTCCCGCACTCTTTTCCCCGACTGATCCATCTCTTGGCC